GTAAGTAAACATAGCAATATCGAGTATTGTCGTCAATAAAAGTTATGAAATACTTCTTTCCATCGCGAGATGGTATTGACTTTATATCGCAAATATCTATGTAAATTAAGCCTAAAGATTTAAATTCCTTTCAACTGACTTATAAGGATGTTTAACATACTTAGATTTCACACATATTTGACATTTTCATTTGTTGTATTCAAACTTAGGCAATACTTCCAAGTTAATCATTTTCCGCAAGGTTTTATAATTGACATGACCCAAACGTATATGCTATAAATCATTTGACTCAAACAAGTAAGAAGGAGCTGAAATTTTATTATTCTCAACGACCATTACATTCAGCTTGAAAAGGCCCTCAGTGAGGTAACCTTTTCCTACAAACATTTCATTCTTACTTATTACAACCTTATCAGATACAAAAACACATTTAAACCCGTTCTTAACGAGAAGTCCAGCAGTGACTAAGTTCTTCCTAATCTCGGGAACATGAAGGACGTTGTTCAGAGTCACCATTTTGCCAGAAGTCATTTTCAGAAATATCTTCCCACATCTTTCAATTTTGGCCATTGCAGAATTTCCCATAGAAAGAGTCTCTTCGGATCCAACGGGAGCATATGTAGCAAACGCTTCTCTAACGGCACAAACATGGCGAGTGGATCCAAAATCAATTTACCACTCCTTAGGATTTCCCACCAGGTTGCATTCAGAAAGCATAGCACACAAGTCATCAACATCTTCGAACTTTTCAACCATGTTTGCTTGACCCTTCTTCTTGTCTTTCTTCGGAGCACGATAATCTCTAGATTTGTGTCCTACTTTCCCACAGTTGTAGCAATTTCCTTTTGAACCGCTTATTCCTTGGGTTGTTTTTCAGTCCAGAAGCCTTCTTCCTCTTTCTATTATTTTGAGGAGTATCCTCAACAATGTTTGCTCCCATTATTGTTGGTTTCCACGACCTCTCTTTTCAGCAGCTTTGTTGTCCTCTTCAATTCTCAACCAAACAATGAGATCTTCAAGCGACATCTCTTTGCGTTTGTGTTTTAAGTAGTTTTTGAAGTCCTTCCACAAAGGAGGAAACTTCTCAATCATCGCTGCTACTTGGAATGCTTCATTGATGACAAGACCTTCAATGAAAATTCTGTTAATAAAAATTGTATAAGTAATACTTTCAACATTAGTATTAATTCGACTTATACCTTCAGCAAGGAGATCGTGAATAATTACTTGCAATTCCTGGACTTAGGTAATAACCGACTTGCTATCTACTATTTTGTAGTCCAAAATTTAGCGCCAACGAATTTCTTCAACCCGACATCTTCAGTTTTGTATTTCCTTTCAAGTGCAATCCACAAATCTTTTGACGTCTCCACATTATTGTAAACGTTATACATATCGTCTTCCAGTCCGCTAAGAATGTAATTCTTGCATAGGAAATCAGAATGCTTCCACGCCTCAATCACGAGAAAGCATTCATTCTCTGGAGTTTCGTCGGGTAGAATAGGAACGTCTTCCTTAATGAACTTCTGTAGACTTAAAGTCGTCAAGTAGAAGAACATCTTTTGTTGCCACCGCTTGAAATCAATCCCGAAATTTTTTTCGAATATTTCTACCAGTGCTAATGCAGGTGTTGTTCAGCTTGTCGATGCATTGGCAATCACCATAGGAACAATCTGGTTCCTGTTATCATTCACCATTTCTGTAAAAGAATGACACAAACAAACGTTAAAATCACATAGATTTTAATCTCCAATGGAGTAGAAAACCACAAAGGTTTTAGTCTCCAGAACAATGAGTATAACTCAAATACAGAAAATTTAAGTTCCTTAAGCTTGTTAGTATACTATATTTGTAAAATAATTCTGGAAAATATAAAATAACGTATAATTAGAAATGAAAAAATAGAAACAGAATTTAATCCGAGCCCACTGAATTCACATTGTTTCCTTAAGGAACTTAATTCCCTCCTAATACCCAAGGTTGTGGATTATTTCCTCCCACGATAGAACGAATTACATATTGGTGTAGTGATACTTCAAACCCCAGTGTTTCAGCGAACACAATGATCGGTAGCAAATCACACTTACTGTTGCTTTATTTTTAGTTAAAACAATGCAGAAGAAAGGAGGAGTATTCAGAAATTCGTATGAAAAATCTGAGAGAATGCACAACTTATTTATAGCCCCAACCTGTTGAGTTCAAACGAAGAGAGGTCAGTTACGTAAAACGGCCATAACGTAAATGGCCATTTACGCAAATTAAAACGGGCAGAGGAAATGTTTTCCGTTACAAAAAACGGACAGGCAGAGTCAATGAAACGGATAATTTGGATTATTAATTTTCCGTTACAAACACAAATATTTAATAATATTACGTTAATATTTACTATTAACAAATAAATTTGCTCCAAAAAATTAATCAATCAATCATTTGACTAAATTCGGAGCCGAGCCGCGAGCCGAGCGACGATGACGATGCAAGGCTTGCCTTCTTCTTGACTCTTTAAGAGCTAAAAGAAGATCAATTGTATATATACCCATCAAAAACTTTTTCCTCTTCCAATATGGGACAATGTCCCATTGTCAAGGAGGGGAACTTAAAATTTCATTTTCTCTCCACTTCACATTCACCCTCTTTTAAGCTTATTTTAGCTTAAAAAACTCAACAGCCTCACCTCTCCTTCATCCTTATGAGTTACACCATTGAACTTGCACTCTATGTACTCTATCTTAGTCCTGCTCAACTTGAACCTTTTAGATTTCATAGTCTGTCTCCAAACCTCCAACCTAACGTTAACCCCACCTCGCATCTCGTCAATCAATACTATATCATCTGCAAATAACATGCACCATGACACCTATCTTTGAATACGTCGCATCAATACATCGATACATTGTTATGTACAAAATTACATAATAATAATAATAATAATAATAATAATAATAATAATAATAATAATAATAATAATAATAATAATAATAATAATATCAATCCAAAATATGGCATGCTAAAAATATAAACTAGTGGCTTGATAAAATTATTGTCTTAAACGTAACTTTTAATAGAAGTGGTTGCAATTCGAGCTATTTCCTACGTATTTCTATCATTCACAAAAAAACTTATTTTAGGAAAATTTTCAAGGTTAATATAATATTTTGTAAAAAATAATCAGATATTAATTTTAATTTCACTAATGTATAATGTCAAAAGTAATTCTATACATTTTGAATAATTCAAATCTATTTTTCAGTGGAAAATAGCTTTCTAACATGTTTTTTTTTCTAAATTTCATCATGAAATAGTCTCATTATTTCACCACTAACTAGAATATCAATAATTTCATAAATTTGAATAATTTAAATATATTTTGGTGGGAAAGAATTGCGTGATTTTCTTGAGGCATTCAGTTTTTGAGCTTTAAAGCATGCCATTAGACTTGAATTAGCCTTGTGTAGGAATTCCAGCATCAGGGAAACGAATCTCATAAGCTCAAACTTGAGACTTTTCTGTTCATTGGTCAAACCATCTTCTTCGATTGTTAGTTATTGTGTGATTCCTTTCAGTAACCATGGTCAACCAGGATCAATAGCAGACATCAGTTACTGGCTTACAAAATACTATCTTTGTTAAAATCACCAAGTAAATGCTTCCACTTAACGAAACACAATCATTCATATGATACCACAGGAGGTAAAATGACATTTCTTGTCAGTATTACTATTAGAGACAGATAAATTTTAGAGCATAATTCTCATAAATGTCTTAATTGTTAAATATAGGGCTGGTTATTTGATGTTCAATAGGACTGCTTTTCCCTCTTCTTTCCTACCAGCCTATCTCTCAAGTTGCTAGAGAAGAAAGATATAACAAGTGTTTGGTCAAGCTTTTGGAAGAAAAAAAGTGCGCAGTTTTTAAAAGCTTGGCCAAACACTAATTGTTTTTAAAAGCTTGGCCAAACACTAATTGCTGCTCAGAAGTGTTTTTTAAATTAATTAGCCAAACACAAACTGTTTCTCGCCAAAAATACTTCTAAGAGAAAAAATACTTCTCAAAATAAGCACAGCTTGGCCAAACATGCTATATATATCGTATACTTTCTTGACAAATCAAATGACATCATTCCAGGTTCAAAGATATCAACTTCTTTTGGAGGTTAAAGAAATCATGTCAGAAAATGCCTACTACCAAAAGGTGAAAAACAACAAGGCAATAGCACAATATAATAAGTTTGATGCTTAGAAGTTTGAAAGGATACCAGCCACTTGAAAGCACTGCACTAAGAGATTTGAAGGAGTTCAAGCATCATTGAAAGCAATAACTAAACTGTTGATGTCTCATAACAATAAAGCCATTTGTACTTAATTCTGACAAGAGCAAGCACTTGCTATTACTACTAAATAACCTTTGTTTTTAATTTATTGTAGATAAGCTTATCACTAACATTATGACATCCATCCATCAAGAAATAATCTCTTCCACGGTTTTTATAACTAAAGCAATACAGTCCCTGCCCAGATGTTAGTTCTTAGGTACAATAATCACATAATTTTTCTCTGTCACACAATATACAACGACCTTGTAATAGAATCATAAACATCTATACATATATAACCACTCAAATAAAAAACACACAAACACACTCATACACAATTAATATGCTAAGTTTGCCATAATATTCACAAATAAGTCAGTTCTGAATGATTTAGTTGGGGTTGTGTTGGTGGGGGGGGGGGGGGGGGGGGGGGGGGGGGATAAGGCTTAGAAGGTCGATATAACTTCACCACTAAATTCTACAGTAAGGTAGCATCCACATGCATAGTGTTTCAACAATAAGGAACCCAACAAGACTAGCTGTGACCTAAAATTACACAAATTCAAGCATGCATTATGTCCTTTTGATATTGGTAACGTCTTATATGTGCTTTTTTCTGCAGAACCGATCCTAAAATATTAATTGGAAACATGTCAGCTGGATAACTTTGATATTGAACAGCACAATATCCACCTAAACTCAATCAAAATCGATTTGGAACATCATCGCCAATGTTTCAGAGAGATAAACTCAAGTATAAGAAACTAGATAAAACATAGAAAGAAAAGAGCAGTACAGTGAAAAGGAGGCATACATCAGACAAGAAACTCCTGGGATTGATAAAGTTTCTGTTTTGAAATAAGAAAAATTCAATATGCCATCGATCAAAAGTGTCTGTGTCCTACAGAAACAACCAACATCTTAGTCCTTCTTTTCCACTGCCTCTTTCTTTGGCTTTTTAGCCGTTGCCTGTGTGTACAAGAAAGTTCCAAATATGGCAATAGCGGATCCAAGTGCATTTAGAGGCCTGACTGGATTCCTGAATACCAACACAGTGGCGACAATCACCACCACTCTCTTCATTGTATTACCCACTGAAAACGTCAGGGGACTAATATCATCCAGTGCTTGGTAAGAAGATTGGTTATATAGATGGTAGAAGATCCCAGATAAGAGAACCCATATATAAAATGTAGAAGGTTTTCCTATAGTTGCAAGAGCATTGTGATAACCTGCCACCCATTGGGAACCTTCCACAAACACTGCTACTGGAAATAGATAAAACAATGAGATTATACTTATCCAACCATACAGATTCAAACCATCCACTTCCTTAAAATTCTGTAAGCTTCTTTTCGAATAAATGTTGCGAAGAACAAACCCAACATTACTGATCATAGCGCCCGACAAGCCCCCAAAATTGAAGGACACTTCAGTAACAGCAGCCAAAGAGCAACCAAAGACAATAGGAAGAATTGAAAGCCATACAGCTAGAGGATATGTATCACCAAGAAATGATGAAAACACAACAGAGAACACAGGTTCTGCAGACTTAATAACATGAGTGAAAGAAACAGCCACTTTAGAGAATGAAACACAAGCTGAGATATGGCCTATGGTGTGAAACAATGCAGGTCCAAGAAGGGCAATGATAAATGATTTGTTTATCTTTGGGCAAGGTTGCAGCTTAAAAGACCATAGAACTAACATCCAAATAGAACCACAAAATAGCTGGAAAGAAGCAAGAAGCCAAGGATAGGGAAAGATGTTCAATACCTTCTTGTTATATATGTTAAACACAATGTTCTGAAAGTACCACAGACCAAAAATGAGAGCCAGTTTCACATTCACTTTTGGCTTTGAAGCTTCAATCTCCCCATCTGGGCTCACTTCTTCAGGGGTTCCAGAGGCTGCTTCAAGAATCTGAGTTTTATTTCTTGAAGAAAATCCAAATGGGTGTCTCAAGATTTTGGAAAAATCCAATCTTGAATGAGAGATCTGAGAGCTGGGATTTGCAGAACACATAAAAGGGTGACCATTTCTAGAACCAGAGGGTTTAGTGAAAGGGAGAGCAGGAGAGCACAAATCTCTCAGTTTTTGGTTTCTGCTTACCAGATTTGGATCAAAAGAGTAGTTGAGGAGGGATTTGGAGAGAGTGACATTAGTGGATGGAAGAAGATTTAAAGTGAGCATCTTTGAATGAACAAAGCAGATTATGGAACACAAAAAAGCAAGAAACTTTAAAGCAAATAAAGATATGGGACAAGATGTTTGGGCAACAAAGGTACCAATAAATCCTCAAATGTTTACCTGATGGCCGCCACCTACCACAACCTAGGGACACTGACAGTTGCGTTTGAACACACAGATTCACAGTTTGTTCCGTGAAGTGAAGTTCTAATTTACTTTTTTCTCTCTCTCTCTCTCGTGTCTTTTTCCTCCCACAATTTAACAAGTGTCTCCTTCTGTCCCAAAAGTTTTAGGGTTAATTTCACTATGGTCACTCAACTATGTTTTATTTTCACTAAAGTCACTCAATTATTTTTTGTCACTTAAAAATAATTAAACTTTTACAATTTCATTTAAAAGTCATTTTGGCTCAAACCCCTACCATAAATATGACATGACATAAAATTTAATGAGAAAAATTCAAAAATAAATGTCACATAAGCTTAAATGGATTATACCCACTATAGATCTGTTTCTTCTTTAATGTGATTTGACTCATAACCCAAATGCTTTCAATAAAAATATATATTAAATTTCACATTAGTTTAAAATGATTATCCTATACTACAAAATTCTTGACTTTTATGTTACATAATGCCCGTTTATAATTATTCTATATTAAAAAAATGCCTATCTTGTTTGTATGCCCCATCCGAGTCGTTTTATAACTATACTGAAGTTAAAATAGTACTGTATCCAACTCACATAACATATTTATAATTTTCTAGTGAAATTAAAATAGTATTGTATTCATCTTACATAACATATTAATGTATCATAAGCATAAGAGAATAATAATAATAAGGCTAATAAGAGTATATTTTCACAATGAACATGCAATTACAGACAACCTATTGCAATTGTTAGATAAAAGAAATATTGTATTTGTACGATAAAAAACCCCACAAAAAATCACAGAACCAAATTTTATTAGGGGTGTGTGTTTTTTCCCCTGTTGAAACCCATTTGGGTTATGAGTCAAATCACATTAAAGGAGAAATGAATCTAAAGTGGGTATAGTCCATTTAAGCTTATATGACATTTATTTTGGGATTTTTCTCATTAAATTTTATGCCATTTCATATTTATGGTAGGGGTTTGAGCCAAAATGACTTTTAAGTGACAATATGAAAGTTTAGTTACTTTTAAGTGACAAAAAATAGTTGAGTGACTTTAGTGAAATTGAAACATAGTTGAGTGACTATCAGTGAAATTACCCCCAAAATTTCGATGTCTGCCCTTCTAAATTTTCACAGTTAGAAAGAAAAAAAAAGGAGAAAAAAACTAGGTTACACTATTTATATACTAAGTGGGCGTTTGGACAAAAGAATTGTGAAATTCTGAAAAAAAAAAAGAAAAAAATCAACTGAAAATAATATTTGAAAAATAGTGTTGTATTTGGATATGAATATAATTTAGAGGTAATTTGAATTTTTGCGAGTGATTTGAAAGAAAAACTTTAGAGTTTTTCAAATTTTTGAAAAAATCCAAAATTCAGTTTCAAGTGAAATTTAAAATTTTTATGACCAACAACTGATTCCGAAAAAAGTAAAAATAAAATTCAAAAAAAGTAAAATTTTTAATGGCCAAACGGGCCCTAAAGTTTTATTTTTGGGTTATCAACAAAAGGAATCAGACGTGAATTTTAGTTATTAATACTACGATAACAATTGAGTTTATAACAAAATATTTTATAAATAATTATCTATCTCTCTCTCTCTCTCTCTATATATNTAAGTGAATCTAAAAGGTTAGTTATGGGTTCACATAAACTCAACGGCGTTTATATAAATAACAAGTCATATGCTATTGAACATAGGGCAAATATCACTTTTAGCCTACAACCTAAATCTTTTGCATTGGGTGGTCATAAAATTGGGCAAAATACCTTACCACCCCTCTAAACTTGATACAGATTATTAGTTACAGCCTTAAACTATTCGTGGTCTTAATTATCCTCCTCAACTTGGCTTTTTGAGAGTCATTACCCCCTGGACGCTGATGTGGCAAAAAGTGTGGGTGTACTCGCCTACCACGTATATTTTTTTGTACATGTAGCATTTTTTTGAAAAATAAATATGTTTTTACATTTTTAACAAAAAAAAAAACTTTCTTAGATTACTTTTTTCGAATACAATTTATAGTAAAGTTTGGATAGAACTACATTATTTATGCTAAATTTTTTTATTTGGCTAAAATAATAAAGTTTTAGTGAATCTTTTTTTTTTTTAATTTGACCTGAAAATAAAAATTTTTACAATTGAAATAAATAGTCAAGACATCTAAAAAGTTAAAAATACATAGTTCGAAATTAATTATTTCGGCTATAATTTTTTTATATAGCTCTAAGTTATGGTGCTATATATATATATTATAGATTTTACCTGAAACAAGTAAAAATGCACAGTTGAAATAAATAGTCATTGCATAAAATAATAAAAATAAAAAAAGTGTACAATTGCAAGAAATAACTTACTCTATGGATACAATTTTAGAGCAATGAGCATGTTAGAAATAATAAGTTATTTATTGCAATTGTACACTCTTTTTATTTATTCTTTTGATGCAATGACTATTTATGTCAACTGTGTATTTTTACGTTTTTAGGTAAAATCTGTAAAAAGTATATTTTTAGAGCACTATAATTTAGAGCTATATAAAAAGTTATAGCCAAAATAATTAATTTCAAACTATGTATTTTTATAACTTTTTAGATGCCTTGGCTATTTATTTCAATTGTATAAATCTTTATTTTCAGGTCAAATTCAAAAAAAAAAAGATTAACTAAAAGTTTATTATTTTTAGCCAAATAATTTTTTTAGCATAAATAATATAGTTCTATCCAAGTTTTATTATAAATTGTATTTGAAAAAAATTCTTTAAAAAAGTAACATACTTATAAAGGTAAAATTGTAATTTATTTTTTTAAAAAAATGCCACATATACAGAAAAATCCACGTGGCAGGTGAGTGCACCCACACTTTTTGTTACATCAGCGTCCAGGGGGTAATGACTCTCAAAAGGTCAAGTTGAGAGGGTAATTAGGGCCACAAATAGTTTAATGTTATAACCAATAGTCCGTGTCATGTTTAGGAGGGTGGTAAAGTATTTTGCCCATAAAATTGTATATAATTTATATATATTTTTTATATAACACACACACACTCTCTCTCTCTCTCTATATATATATATATATATATACCACACATAATATATATTTTTTCGGTTATTATTTTGAAAGCGGCTATATAATATCATTTCCCCTGAATTTACGTGACCCAAAACCAACGTTTCAAATTCTTTTATAAAGGAAATACTTTTAAATATCCTTGGTGTCAAGACAATAGAAAAAGAAAAAGAAAAATGAATTATTCTTATATGAAAATAGAAATTAGAGCTAATCTTATACAAGTGAGGTTAAATTCGAAATACAAATTGTTATTGTTCGAGGTGGATATGTTAAACTCTCCTAATCTATTGTCAGCTTGCATTGCTTATAAGTGAACATTTCTATTTGACTAAATAAGTAGGATTTAAAGAGTTATTATTACCAACCTAAAACCTTAAAATGTTTCTGCTCGACTAAATAGTAGGATTTGAATAGATATTACAATCAACTTAGAGCGTGTTTGGAAAGCCACCTAAGAATTAGATTTGGGTGTAATTATATAGTTTGACATGTTTGTCTGACTAAGTAATTATATGGTCAGCATGAAATTTGATGTAATTACGCTCTCCAATTCTCAAAGAGGAGGTGAGAATTGGTGGTAAGTACACTGTATAATTATAAGGTTACTTTTTAATTTCTTAACATTTTATTTTTATTTTAATTTATTTTCTTTATAACTTTTTATTTCCATTATTTTAATTTCTTTTTATTTTATTTTTTAATTTTAAAATACATTTTCTTTGCACATTTTTATCTTTTATTTCTCTAGCTTCATTTTAAAATAAATACCACTACCCATTCTATATTAAGAATCTTTATGTATCTCATAATTTACCCCTATTTTTAAAAGTAGAATGTCTCTAGGTAAAATTGTTATTAACTTTGGCCTTGCTTCGCTTTTTCCATTTTAACTTGAGATGCTTCTTTTTTGACTTACGAAGTTCATCTCTTCTTCAAACCAAATTCAAACGCTCTCACATCTTTCAGCTTCGCCAATAAATCCCAAACCCAAAGCCCAATTGTGAAGAACAATCGAAAGTGACAATGGCAGCGAAGCAAATGGAAGAAATACAGAAGAAATTGGGAACATTGAATTACCCAAGAGCCAATGCCCCTTCTCAGTCCCTTCTCTTTGCCGGCATGGAACGATACGCACTTCTCGAATGGCTTTTCTTCAAGTACGCCCCCCTTTTAATCTCTTTTCCTCTGTTAAATACAAGTATTAGCTATAAATGCACGATCTTTATTTTCCTTAATCTTCATTTACAGGTTATTAGGGGACAAGTCACCATTTTCTCAACAAAATCTACAAGGAGTTAATGCCGTGGATCGCGATGAGGAGACTTCTCGCATTCAGTGTATTAAACTTTTTTCTAATACCCTCTTTGTTTGATTTTGGAAATTACTCTACATGGATCCATTTGAGAAAAACGAAGCTTATAGCATCTGGAGTCCTATTTGTTTTCTAATTGGATCATACAGGGCCTTAAGTAGAAAGGCTAAGACTCGAATTCCAGTCTTGGTGCATTTATTTGGCAACGCAGTGTATCTTAGCTTGATTGTTCTTATTGAAGTTTTGATCTTAGTATGGCCATATCTGTTCGTCAGCATCTAATGGGTTTAGATTTTTTAATATCAGTAAATACCTTTCTTTTTAGAATTTCTGGGGATCCATGCAGACCTAGGAAAAGATACGGCACAATGCAAGAAAAGATCTATACCGGCATCACATTTTAGTTGAGAATGTGTTTTTAAATGTTAGTAGCACTTTTATTGTAGGTCCTAAAATATACACAAATTATAATACTACTTTTTATTTATGTTCCGCATAATATTGGCATGAGATGAGTTTAAATAGAGTTACAACTTACGCGGTAGTGAGGATTCATATAGCCGACCCAACTTGTTTGGGCTTGAGGTGGTGCTGTTGTAGAAAAGAGCTTTCTTTTTGCTCCCCTATGAAAGTCCTGCTCGAATATTTCAATTGGAATAATCAAAAAG